ATCGATCTAGATATAGGTGAGATACATCGTCTAAAATGTTATCTAGATACAAATATAGATACATAGTAAAAATTATCTAGATATAGATACAAATTTAAAAATGTATCTAAACACAGATACAATTTTTATTACTCTCATATTAGGTTTGCTATAAATTAGAAATAATGGCCTAAAATTTATTGATTCGATGTCACATTTATCAAGATTTTTAGATTTTAATATAATAAAATATATATGATTAAATGATTATAAATAATTATTAGATTTCAGTAAAATATATTTTCAAAATTTTGGTCATTAAGATATCCTCGTTTATCTTTAAAGATATATTTTGTGGTGCTATATTTTATGAATAACAATTTTATATCAGTATACTCTTTAAAAATACCAAAATCTGGACGTTCATTTTTCAAAAATTTATTTAAAAAAATAAGAAGGATTTTCAACAATTGAATATGGCTGAATGCCAGCTATAATAAAAGAAGTTATTAAATTATCAAAATGGGTTTGGGTTAAAGTCTGAGGTCTCTTGGCAAAAATATTAGTGGATATTGAACCTAGTCCAATATTTTTTTAATGATTTATTATCCTTCCCCTTTTTTATTTTTATCAACAGTGTTTGATGTTTGCTCATAAAACTTAAAATAACAATTGTAAACACTTATTTAGTATCTATACCTTTTAAATGTTTTTGCAGCTGAAATTTTCGTATTTTTGGTAGACATGGCAAACATTTTACTATCAGAGATTTGTTTTCTTTATTTTGAGATATTATTTTAAAAGATGCTCTATAAATTAGCCTTTGCATAAAATTATATAAAATAGTTAATTTGGTACAAATGTTATTCATGCTGATAGCTAACTAGTTTTAACAAAATTGCAAAAGTTCATATGAAAATTATTAAATGAGTATATAAAAAATTATTATTAATGGCTGAATAATTTTGGCAAATCTGTTTATAATATTTTAACAATCATTTGCTGTATATGAAAATATGGTGAAATCAATCTATCACTTATGGAAATATGGTTAGTGATGGAAATTACTCATAGTGAAATGAACATTATTTGGGAAAACATGGAAATTGGTTTATCTATGGCTAATGTAGACATTGGGATGGATACTGATAAACATACTGTAGCGACTGAAAAACTGAGAAATTGTTGCGACTAAAAAACTGAGAAATTGATGCAACTGCTAACGAATATAAATTGTTGTGAATGCTAAACTCAGATAAAATAATTCTTTATTATATATTTTACAAACAAAAATAACTTTTTTTATAAAATAACAAAATCGAATAATGATTTTATAAAATAAAAAAATCGAATATTGATAATAATTTTTCTACAACACAAAATAAAAAAAATATTATTTCATATTTTCAACAACATTTTAAAATTAAATCAATAATCCCAATAAAAAAAATATACAAGGTTATAACAGATATCTGGCTTATTAAGACATAAATATATAAGGACGTTGGAATCCCTTATCATGTGACCTATGCAGGCTTACACGAGCCAGAAGTAGCTGTATTTGGGTTAAAGGACTACTTTATATACGATGTAGGGATATGGATTATCTCATGAGCCATCCAAGGATGATAGCGATTTCGTAGCCAGATCTAAAATTATACATGGGCCATCCTAGAATGTTAACGATCTCTTGGCCAGCTCTAGATAACAGTGACCTAATGGCCATCCAAGGATGATAGCGATCTCTTGGCCAGTTATAGGATAACGGTTCCCTTCATAATGTCGACTAATATACAATGGACTTGATAACGATACTCCGGTGGGAGATTAAGAATACAAAGGCCTCGATAACGTACTCCAATGGGAGATCAATCAACAAGGGAAATGATATTGATACTCTAGGCGAAATCGAACTTACCAACAGCTAATATTGATGCTCTTTTGAGAGATCAAAATTTTAATTAGGGAGAAGAATGGATGTTAAAAAAACACAACATGGTAAAGATGACCAAGGAGAGAATTTTTTAGGAGAAACTATAAGTGGTGGATGCCTCTAGGAGGGAAATGTAGGCTTTCTTTCAACGAATGTAAAATGTAGTAATTACAATTTTATTATGATTATATATATAAATATTTATGATAAATATAATAATATGTAAGATTAACTCCTAACACATATAGATAGCATCAATCATATAATGTAATTTCATAACCAAATTGTGAATGTACATGTTTAAATAAATGAATGTTATAAATTATACTATGTGAAATTATCTCATTTATTAAAAATAGGAGTTCGGTTTTCCAGTGCATAAGGATATAGAATTTGATCAATTGATAAGTTAAAACAATTTTGTTTGTAAGAAAGGTTAAAAGTTAAATAATATATATAAAATTTTTATTCATTTAGGATAAATTTGAATTAAATGTATGATACATTAAATCTTAGAATATAAAATAAGCATCTCAGCAAACGGTCACGTTATTTCTTTTTCAAGAAATGTTACCAAAATATAATTGAGCAGTGACGAAGGGTCAATAGAAGCAAGGGAAGCATTGCTTCCCTTGAAATTTTTCTTACAAAATTTTTAAATAAACTTTATATAATCTTTGTAATATGCTAAATAAACTAAACTGACTTTGTTAAAAAAATTAATATAATTTTTATAACTTTAAAATGATTAATATAATTTTTATAACGTTAAAAAGTTTAATATAATTTTTATAACGTTAAAAAGATTAATATAATTTTTATAACGTTAAAAAAATAATATTATTTTTAGTATATTAAGAAATACTATTATTTTTATACGTTAAAAAAGTTACTATTATTTTTATACGTTAAAAAATTTACTATCATTTTTACTATGAAAATATACATGAGGGAAGCAAATTTAATATTGCTTATTTATTTTAATAAATAAAGAGAAAATCTTGACATGGTATTGTGTAATTTTACCATTAAAAAATAAGCATTGGGGAAGCAAATAAAAAAATGCTTATTTTTTAATAAATAAAAGAGTAAGAATTTATTTTATATATTTTTTCCTTTACTTTTTTAAACTAAAAAATTTTTCGTTTTTTATCTTTAATTAATGTTTAATAATTGTAATTGTATTATTGAAAATTTATTAACATTATCATTTAGCTCAAGAAATTTTGATGCGAAAAAATTGATTATTGAAAAAGGAAAACCAAAACCAATTTTACAAAACTTAAAAAAAGAAATCAAAACTTTTTCTATCGATAAATATGAAAAATATGAATGGATAACTAACTGGATGTGAATTTTCTAATTCTCTATATTGTTGGTCATGCCTATTATTCCCAAAGGAAAAAATGCTTGCAATGATAAAGGATTTTCGGATATGAATATTTTTTCAAAGGCAGTTAAACGGCAAATAATCAACCGCTCATTTGCAGTCGATGATTCAATGAAAAACATTTGGCCAAAATCGTATTGAAAATATAATAGATTCGATGCGCAAAATATCAATCGAAGAGCATAATTCTAAGTCAAATCAAATAGAGAAATATTGATCAACTCTATATGTTTTCTTGGAATTCAGGAGCTCGTATTCAGTGGTGATGATGAATCTTCTAATTCAGTAAATAATATTGTATTAATTTATTTACTCGCGGAAGAAAATTTACTATTGAAACATTATTTAGAAATAGTGCAGTTTTTATTGTACTATCAAGCAATATTCAAAATGATTTGATTAATTCTATTTCATATGTCTTACACCAAAAAATATTAAATTCGTCGAATTGTTAGATATTAGTAAATTTCAAATAATCAATTTCCCAAAATAGTTATTAGATAATTTTAACGACATTTATTCTCAATTTTTCGACTTCAAGCTGGAAACCGAATTAAAGGTAGTGTTTCGGGATGTTGAATATAAAAAGAATGTTAATGAAATACTTGAATTTTAATATGCACCGATTTGATGAAAAGTTTTAAAGAGTTTTTTAAATTATGCAAATTCATCTTAACTTTGGCTTCAACAACAGCTAGTGCAGAACAGAGTTTTTCATCTTTAAAAAGAATCAAATCTTATTGCAGAAACAGGATGAGCCAAAATCGATTATCGAATCTATCTTTAATTTCGATTGAAAAAAAATTATAAAAAAATTTAAAATCTAAACTTTTATAATGCAGTACTTGATCATTTTACTCAAAAACAAAGACGAATACCACTTATTTATAAATCTTAATGTTTTTATGGTTTGAGTTTGACTAAAATAAAAATAATTTTTTTTTTTTGATTGCTTCCCTAGTAGTAAACTTGACACTTCGTCACTGTAATCGAGATTATATAAATTTAATATGGAATTCTGTGCTAACATACCAATCAATTCATACCACCAAAATCAACAAATAACTTTTCTACACCAGCTAAAATAAAAAATGCAAATAATGATCAACATGCCAAGACTTTCAATTTATTCATAATACTAACATCAACATCACCGGGGTACTTATCTAACATAAGCGTTTAAAATTAAAATAACCCTTCTCCATAAAGTAATTAGGTATATGCACTTCTCGGGTAAAGGCTTTTGCTTTGCCCAATTCTTTTTATCTTAGCCAATAGGCGTTTACGAAATGTCCTAGGACTATTGTGAGAACAAATACATGTGGTTTGCCTAAAAAGGTGGAAGGAGTCATCATTTTTCCCCCTATATAAATATAGTTTGATGGAATTTAGGAAAACCTAGCGTAGCTCTGTTGCTTGTCAGCTCTAAAAGGCATAGAGCTGAAATCGCGTAATTTTAACAACTCTGCTGATATCGATAAATTCATAAGTACTGAGCGAAATGAGAAAAATCACGACAGCTATTACGTATTATAAAAAATATTATCGCTGTTATTTTGCATCGCTTGAGCAAATCGCGCTTACTATAAATGCAACGTTGAGGTTTAAAAAAAATTGGGACAAAATATTGGCAAATATCATTGTCAAGTGAGACTAAAAAAATGAATCGAATAAAAAATATTGCCGAAACTTCCGCCCTTTAAAATTTTTTTTCATATAAAAAAAAACATTATATAATAGAAGATATAAAAATTATATTTAATATACAAAATATAACAATCATTTATTTAAAAAATAAATATATTATTTTCCACATAAAAACTTCAAGGAGGATGTTTAATGGGCACTCTGCAAAAGGGACATTCTCTATATTGAATAATGTGAAATTCCCATTCTTCGGAATAAAACATCTTGATATAAATAAATAATAAATATTGAATTATCTAAAAAAAACATGAAAATATTTTGAAAGGAGGGAGATATTGTATGATTAGCTATTTAATATATGATGGATTTGCTTAGTTATTTTTTATAATTTAAAATCTGGGTTTTAATTGAATTGTTTGTCTGATTTTATATTAGATCTAGAGCCGCATTTACAATAAAGGCGTTTTTTTTTCAAGCGTTGCATTATTTAACGCAGCGTTATTACAAAATAAAACCAAAAAATAGGTATGTATCTATAAGCATGTAGCTTTGAAAAACGCATGTTGTGATGCGTTAATAAAATTTGGTAAAAGGAATATTATTTTTCTTAAATATTATATAAAATAATTATCTCTATTTTAGATATAACTATAATTAGTTTTCAAAACTGAATCAGCCGTAATAACTCTGTGTTAAATAGAGCGACGTTTGAAGAAAGCCCGTTAACTATAAATTCAGGCGTAAGAAATTTTTTATAAGGATATTATGACAATAGTTTCAAGTAAAACGAAATTCCCTTGCAAGTAAGCTTCAAAATTTTTAATCTATAAACCCAATAATTATTAATAATTTTCATCTCAGGATTTAAATCATATCCTTTACAAAACTGTGTACGTTAGTGTTGTTAAACAGCTTGAAAACTGCCCGATTAAGAGCTTAGCCAAAATAATATTATGTACAAACAGTCCCTCCAAACTCATTTATGAGCAAAATCTCCATGTTTACATAATAATATTTTGGATAAAGTCTTAATCGGGTTGTTTAACAAAACGGTGTACAGGTTTAGATAAAATATATTATGCGTTACCTTATAGCATCGATTACATTGAGTGATAGATATATCCGGCAAAGCATTTTTAAAGTAATAAAAGTTATCGTGATTTTTAACGCTATTATTATCATTCAAAGTACAATAATCGTTCGCTACCTCAAAAACTTCGCCAGATTTAAGCATTTTGTCAATTTCTTGGAGTTTATAGGCATGTTTGCTATTATTATTACCATCATTATTAGTAATTTTTAAATCGTCTTCATTGATAGCATATATAAGGGCTAATGGCAATATTTCTATAATAACATAAAAGATATACAAATATATTTTTAAAAAATAAAAATTTATAGGTTTCATTTCAATTACGTATTTCTGAGATCACCAATCATACATTTTTTTTCATTGTACTTACAAGTTATAACTCATTAAATACTCTTTAAGACTATATTTTAATTACGTTTATTGATATTTACCCAAAAGCTATCATATTTTAGATTGTCGTAAGTATTTAAAATATAAATCAATATTAAAACTAGCATTGACTATATAATAATGCTTCAAAAATGTTATATTATATAACCCAAATCTATTTTATAGTAGATGAATAATCGGCGCCAATCCGAAATTTAAGAAATAAAATGGGTAAATCCCTTACCAATAACAAAGACAAACTTCCCAATAAAGTAATATTTTAACCCTACCATAGCTGATTCACTTCTAAGTTTGATGGGCAGTTATACATTCTAAATACATGCATATGAAAATTCTAAATCGTAGCCCTTTATTACCAAAACTCAGAAAGGAAAATATAAAGGGGTTTCGACATTGCGAGCATTTGGACTCGAATTGATGCACTTGATCTGTCATATCTATCCAAATATCGGTGTAGTCCTCGCAGGAATAACAAAATATGTTGCGTTTATAATTTGTTTCTATCTTCTCATGGTTGGTGCTTTGAGATATTATGTATTTTAGATTCAACAACAAACGGTTCCTATCGATGGAGGAGATGCCCAGATGGTGATGGTTAATAAATTTTTCTTTCGTGCTTTATAAAATATAATTTTAAAACATCATTTATAACAATATCACTGGATCCTGATACTAAAATTAATTTGAAGGCACACCATAAAAGGATGCTCCCAGATATCTTTTCCTATTCTACGATAGCAACAAAATATAATGCATAAAAGTATTATCACGAAATAAAATAATACGAACACTCGACAATTATAATTATTTTAAAACATAAATTCACCTATCAATACCGACCAGATTAAAATTCATCAAATCAAGAGTAGACTCCATTTGATACTCAATCAACGTATCCTCGTTTGGGGTGAATCGATGGATGCAATCATTTAGGCTTTTCATCAAATTCGGGGATAATATTTTCAATTTTATGGTTAATTCCAGTAATAACCAAGCCACTTTATATACGGAAATTCCTTTAGGTGCTAGAGGATAATCGCGATCTTTGGTTTGATGAGCGAGGCGAGGAAATAAGTACCGACACATATTATATACGTCTTCATTGGTATGCAACGAAAAAGGGTTAACCTAAAAAAAGTTGATTTAAATATTTAAGTAGATTAAGTTAGAACATTTATATCTCTTAATGCATTAGGAGCAAAAAAACAAAAAAAAAATCATACACATTATTACTGATCAGGAGTAATGTTTTGATTTAAAAAAAAAATATCATCTTAAACGAAGCGTAAATTTAAATACAAATATTTAAGCCATTTCTTAAATAGTTCACATACCATTACTCATAAAAGAGATTTTTTAAAAAAATAAAATAATTCTTTTATAACATGATTCAACGGATAAAATGATATAATTTGAGTTGATATTTGACCCATCAAAGAGATTGTGGTTTTAAAGTTATAAGAAAAGTAAAAAAAAAAATTTCCCGTTTTTAAATGACTCCTCAGATTTATAATTGGAAAACCGATTTCCTTCAACGCCAAATAATCGATTTCACGAAACTTTCTTCCGACTTCTTTTAAACATGGTGGCTCTCTCGGTTCCACCTTGCTCGAGAATTTATAGGCATTTTAAAAAAAAGTTAAAGGAAGGAAGCTAAAACAAAGTTAGTCGCGAATTTTCGAAGCAAAAACAACACAAAACAACTAAGGATATTTAATTTTTAATAAAAAATCACCGAAAATTGATAGATTTTATCGTACACGTAATATAACTCGGAATTGCGCAAGCACGTAGCCAGTCTAACGGAAATGGTTGCTGATCAAATATACAAAAAATAATAATTATGTATTCATATTTTTTTTCTTCCAATTTTTGAAATATTTTGTATATCCCCATTTTAATATTACGAATTTATAAAAACAATTTTAAATATTTAAATTTTCTTTCTTCCTTCAATTTAATGTGATATATATATATTTTTAAACTTATGTTGATTATTTTTTAAAATTAAAAAGTATTATTTAATTTTAATCAATATATATATATATATATATATTAGAAAAAAATAAACTAGGTTTAATTTTTTGGAATCGAAATATAATAAGGAATAAATAATTTTAGTGGTAACAATCAGCTGGGGGGGGTTTGTCAAAAGGTTTGCTTAAGCATATCCTCAAATATTTTTTTTTTCTCCATTTGACACAGTTTTTTATATCATGCGTAAACCAAAAAATAAAACCCACAAATATATATGAATAATTATAAAATAGATTTTTTTAAAAATTATATTTTACAATTTTGTTTGATAACACGATTGGCTAGAACGTTATAATAATAGGAAACGTCTCGATAACACTTTTGATTTATAGCGCAATCGATCATATCTCCTAACAGGGATTCTAGGTTAACATTCGTTAGTCCTTCAATATCTTTGGTCTTTAAAACTATAAATAAATTTAAATAAAAGAATATAAACGTAAATGTAAATGATCGTTTACTCCACCGGGAAAGCGGTTTTTAAAAAAAAAATACAATTACGTTAAATTTATTATTAAGAAACTATAGATATATATGTATTAATCTTTGAAAAAAGTTTTTTTTAAATGGTAAAAGTGATTAAATTCAAATATTTTTTGTAAAAAAAATGAAATCATACTATCTTCAATCGGATCAAATAATTCCATCTCGACAAGATTATCGAAGTAAGCAACATAAAGTTTTTGGTCGCCGGGGAATGTATTCCTATATCTGTCGCACAACATTAAGAGGTTTTGGTTCAGTTTTTCTGCGGATAGACTAACGCTGATATCGCAATTACCGGCATTGGTATCCTGATTCTTGCTGCCATTAATTCGGGTGGCGGCAATGCAACCCGACATAGATGTAAAGTACAAACATAAGAGTCTGTTAAAAATTATTTTCCATTTTTCGCGGATCTCCAAATCCCAAATGTTAGCTTCCTTACTGTCGCAAAGGTTCAACAACTGTTCGTAATAATTTTGACATCTCCTAAAATCGTTCGAACCAGGTTGAAACCGGCTGCTGTGGTAGAGGATGTTTCCACTGAGCAAGGCTACGTTTAGTAATTTGCGGGGCTCCTTTTCGCGATCAGTTTCCCGTAATTTAGTAATAAGTAGCGTTCCCAAATCAAGAATTCTTCAAAAAAATATATTAATATACAATAATGGATGCACCAATGTCAATTTTTATTGGCCGATTTTGATACTAGTAATATCAAAAAAATTATATTACCATTTTTCTTTTGTATAAAGAGTTTTGTTGAGAAAAAAACGAAAATAAAAATTTATCCAATATCGCCATTTAATAATTGATGTCGTGGACATTGATCCGATTATCACAGCTGAAAGGATTAAAAATTAGAAAGTATCACGACTTTTCTGATATTCACACCATCCCAACTGTTATTTCTACCAATGGGTCCCTAGGCTCCCCTTATGATATCATTTTAAGATTCTAGGTAAAAATATTTCTCAAATTATTGGTGATCATGGATCCTCTCTTAAAATGTTAAAATCAACTCAAATCGCATAGTGGCCTCGGAGTCAGTGAAAGCCCTTCTTTGCCCCCCCCCCCTCCCCAACTATTTTATTTCTTTTTTTTGTTGAAAACTTATCTTTGTCATTTTTAAATTGTTAAGAAAACTGTTTATTTCGTATTGAGAAAAAATAAAACTTATCATTCAATTTATTTTCGGAGAAATATTCAAAAGCCTCTTGGTATTTGCCTTGATCAATCAAATCCTCCTGGTTCGCTGATGCTTCGCACTTCTTATCATCACTCACGTCAGACTCGATTTTACGAACATCGTGATTCGGACTGATCCGATTGACAGAATCGATTGTGACGAGAGACGGTTGTTTAGAGAGTTTAGTTTGCAAAGGTTTCGAGATATCGGGCTATTTAAGATTCGATTACCGATATAATCGAGGAAATATTAATTTAAAGATTTATAATTTTTTTGGATCAAAGATATCGAGATTTTTTTAAAAAAAACTATATTCGATCTGATTTTAAAACAATCGGTCATAAATCAGGTCCGGTCTATCTATATCGGTCTAAATTGAGCCGCTAACAATTTACTAATTAGCGATATTTAATAAACAAAGTCGCATAATATATCATAATTTTATGATACATAATTCTTTTACATTAAAAAGAAAGCCCTCCCATAAACTAATTTTGTAGATTTTTCTTTCCGTTTCTTTTCTCTCTTCTTCTTTCTTAATGAAGGTGAACACAGTTTAGAATTCAAACCTCTTCAAAAAGCGAAAAAAAAGAGAAATAGTGAGCTGCATTCAGATCAAATTCGGAAATATAATGAAATATCAGCCATTTCTCTTTCTTAACTTACCCTGATATTAAGGAGGTACTTAAAAGCGTATAAATAAATATTACTTTCATTAAACGCGCTTCGAGGTACTCAAGTATACCCTTTGAGCCGCCCTTATCTGCAGAATCCTGACACAGATTATGGCTCAATACATCTTCCAAAAATAGAGACTGGGATATAAAACGATGGGTCTTAGAAAAAGCTAAACATTTTAAGGCAGCCCTTAAATCCGATGCTATAAAGGCGGCACTACCAAGTTTATAAAACATATTTTCTAGTTCCACATTGTCAGGTGTCTTGTTATCTTGCTGACCGAGATCACCGATATTATAACATCCCTCCAGAATTTGTACGCATTCGCTATATTACAAAATAGAGTAGTAGTGTTATTTATATATTTTTTAAAAAAATCTGATTATTTACCGGCTTTTAACGATTTTGTAGAAATAATAAATTGACAAGGAATGTCACGTAAACGTCTATAAAACACGACACCAATCATATATATATACATATATATACCCGTATAATTTTTTGACAGACAAGCGATCTATAACAATTTCTAGCGGTATGATTATTGAAAAGGGTGATTCGGAAGATGTAACAGATAGTAGGTAAATTATGTTCGCGTCAAAAAATAAAATCTTGCAACCCTTTTTAGTGAGTGAAAGATTGTAATAACAAAGGGTGGATAATAGTATTATTCATATATACCAAAAAATATCGTTGTAGGGAATTTGTATATAACATTTTTTTAAAAAAGAACTTACTTTTTGTAAGTCGTCCAATTGATATAAAATTTCGTTGTCGTAACAAACGGTGAGAGATACATGGACGCCGTCTAGCTCGGCGTCCTTCAAATGCGGTTCACGTTCCGCGAGGTAGCAATACATGGTGGGAGCGTGTTGATGCCAACTGAAGCTAGTTATCGATTTCTTACCGAATTTTTCCTGAAATTATAAGTTTCGTTAATTAAATCAAGCATAAAACGCTGAAAGGTCAATAAGTTCTTCAAATTGAAGCGTTTGCGTTTTTGTCGTAAATTTTAAATAACGCGTTTCAAATTCAAATGATAACGTGTAAATTATTAAAAACGCAAAATAGCTTTTGTGTTTTTTAAAAAAAAACATATTAAACAACAAAGCTGTATTTTTTAAAAATAAACACAACGCTAAAAATTTTGTCATATTTGTAAGCAAGTATTTATACGATGTGGGGATTCTTTTTTTTTTTACAAAATGACAACCCACTTGTTAGTATTTTTTTTAAGTAAAAAAGTATAGTTCCGTATTTACTACATCTTTAGCCGTTTAAACCAATTTTTAGCCGGCCAAAAAATCCGCTAAACCAAGTTTTTAGCCAAAATCTGACATTTTAACCTGGAATTTTTTTTCTTAAAAAAAATAGCAGCTCGAATTTGGAAGAAACTAATATAAATTAAGATCCCTTAATGTAAACGGATTTTCTCTGGCTGGCGCCTGAGTCGATTTAGCCATTACCTAATTATAAGCATTAATATCGAGCAAATTTAATTTAGGGTGAACTTATATCATGATAAAATTTGATTTGTAGATTTAGGACAGAAATTTTAGTCAACAAAGCTTAAGCATAACCTAAGCCTATCTTTATTCTCCACTTGTCCTGTTCTTTTTTTTTGCATTTTCCTCGCTATTTGCTCATAGATTTTTAGCCGATTAATATGAATTAAGGAAAAGATAAAAATTTAAACTTAATTCTTCATAAAAATTTTTCCATTAATATTGGTTACATTTTTTTGTAAAAATTCATTAATTTTATTATGAAATGATGTTACTCATACAAGGAAATAAATTACAACTATAAAAACATTAGAAAAGGCTATGTCCTGGTAGACATAATTTGGAATACTTTATTGTTTTTTTAGTATAGGCATAAAAAGGACACCCTATTTTGGTTTGTTTTTAAGGTATTAGGTGGCATCTTTATTTTTCGTATTTTATTCAGGTTTTTTTATATTTTCTTTTGCATTTTTTTGGCTATTTAGTAATAAGTCGATCCTATATTTTGGCGGAAATGAAGATTTAAACGGGATTTTCTTACCTCCGATCTATTTCCCATTAAAAAAAATTAATAAATATTAATACTTCGTAGCATAAGCTGATTCCTTTCCCTTTGTCACGTAAATTGAGATCCAGAGGCAAAATTATCATAGTGCTCTCGTTACCGATCAACCCTTCGACGTTACAATTGGCATTGTTCTTCGAATCGCTACCAACTTGGCGGCGGACATTTAAAATGCAGGCCAATGACATGTTAAACGGGTGGTTTATAAAGAGCGAACCCGTAATACTCGAAAAATCGGACATGTTTTTGTACCGATAAATCTCGACAGGGATTACTATGCTCCTTGCATGCGGGACGCTAATGCTTGACGCGTCATTATCGAAGGACAGCTGATATATCTATTTTATTTTTTTTTAAAAATGTCGGTACTCATTTAATTTAATATAACGTATAAAATAGATCAGAGACTTGAAGCTAGGTCAAAATGTTAGGCTGCTCCCGAAAACGGATCCTACAAAATATTCAAACCCGGCCCGAGATTTTTGTTCCAGAAATTTCTTGGCCAGGTCTGGATTATTAATTTCTAAATTATTTAATGGCATTATTTTGCAAATGATTTCACATGGAAAATATGTAAAGCGAATGAATTAATAACTCATACAATTTACCAACACAACTCTAAAACTAAAGGTGATAAATTCTCAACTCCGAAATGTTAAAAAGTCATTTATAATTATAAAATCTCGTCCCTTTTTAAAGAAATCACGAGTTCTACATGTGATACATTAAAATCGGGCGACTATTTATAAATATGATAAATATTTAAACAAATTAATTTTAAATAATGGTTAATACGACAAATGTATCTTTTTATATGTAAAATCAGCCTGGCCCGTATTTTTAAGATCGTAGCATTATCGGCCCTCGAAACCAGGTCTGGTAGTAAAATAAATAAATTCGATATAATATCGGTTATAGACCAACGTTAACTGATCCGATGGGCTTCCAAAATCGGCAAATGCACATTTTTTAATTTTTTTTAATATATTTTAATCATCATCAAAAAAAGTATATACCCGAATATCCGCGCCTAAAACGTACAAACATCTGTCCGATTGCAACAAAATTGCCGATAAAATGGCGAAATTATATCTATGATATTGCCACTCTGGATTTACGCCGGAATAAGAGGCCCGGTTATTTACGTCAGCGCTACTTACACAAGTCCTCCTCAAAATCAAGCATTTGCTCTTTTCGTCCAACGCGTTTATCAACAAATACGCGTGATTTTTATCTATTATCATCCTTAGATCGCCGCGAATTTTAGGTTTATCCTTAGCGAATGGGGGAGGTATATCGATGGAATCAAACACGTCAACATGGCGCTCCACAATTCTGTAGTGCAAAGATTTGTCGGGAGTCAAGGAGGATTCGTATACGATAAGTTTGTTTCCTCTTGTCAAAACCTTAAAATATTTAAAAAATATCAAATTTTTTTTTGGCGAATGTTTGACAAATAGATAATTTGTAATTTTTACACTTTCAATGCCAATCAAATCTTGAAAAAATTATTCAGGTGCCAATTGTACTCATTCTATGATACAATTTTATATGTATATCAGAGACCTACAGGCCTGGCCTAACCCGAAATACGGGCAGGGCCATATTTTAATTTTTTTAAATATACCTGGGCCGGGCCTAATATATATTTTTAAATCGCTAGCTATAAAAATTAAAAATAATTGTAATATATTTCAAATAAATCTGGGCCGGGCAGTGCAAATGGTACCTCTGCAGATCTCTGATATATATTATATTTTTTTAAATATGATGAATCGTTTTTAAAATATTCGGCCCGGCCCGAAGCTTGCCGTTTTCTGATAACTATAAACTATAAGTAAAAATTATACAATAGGGTTAACTTGTGTTCCCAAAATGGAACAATAATTTTATCAGAAAAAATTTATTTTAAATATTTTTAAATTAGGGGGTTTTGGGGCATAATTACTTTTCTAAGATAATTCCAATTACTAACCAACTTTTCTTCCGAACTCTCAAAAATTTATCAATTTTTTAATAAAAAAAAAAGGATCTTAATAAATAGAAAAATTATAATTGCAATAAAAAATCCTTACCATCAATTTGTTACGATACAAGGCTACGTTGGTTATGACATCTCTGCATTTTATTATTGCTTGTTTTTTAAAAAAAAAATAAAATAGATTGATTACAACAAAGCATGGTAAATGCAATCAGGCGTTAGCGATGCAAAAAGGTTAACTCAATTTATTAACAAAAAAAAATATCGACTAAAATCAGAGATTTCGTTAATTTGATGCCCGCGGCGTTTGACTTGCCATTTCACTGCAATCCATTAATAATTATCTCGATGCTTAATATATATTTCGATGAAAAGGGCCCAATGACGATTACTTTTTTGGACAATAAATATAGGGAAAGGGCCAAAATTGAAAATTATTGAAAAGGTTCTGCGGCTTTGTCAAAATTACATTAATTAACATAGGGCCCTGTAATAAAATACGGCAATAAGCTTCAATATGGATTATATAATATATATATATATATATATAAGGAAACCTTTCTTATGACTCAATAAATCCTGGACAATTATATCGGTAGATATTTGGACGAAGGCGTACACGTTAAAATAGATGGCGTGTATAATCTCGATACCCAAGTTGAGTTTATGCGAACATATTTCGCATAGATTGGTCCCGAATAACTTTAAATAAAAAAAATTAAATTAATCTCCATTTTATAAAAAAAAAGAGAAGTTTTGCCCGTTCGTTTAAAGCGGAACTCTAAGAACATAGGGAATCACAACCGGAAACCATTATTTTCTAGGAGCCGGTCATAACAAAAAATAAAAACGGGAAACCACTTTTAAAAAAAAAAAATATCCAGAACCGGAAATTAGAACTCCTTTTTGTTCATTCGTCCAGGTTTCAAAGCTCCGTAATTTATCAAAAATATATATATTTACCATAAAGTTATCCTGACGAGATTCGGAATGATAAATGGCGCAACAAGTAATATTTCCGGATTTGATATCACTTTAAAAAAATTTTTTTTTTTAAATTTCGAATAAGAAAATATATATATATATATATATATATATGTATTAATTTTATCATTAACATACTCGGCCATGGGGGAAGGTAGAATGGTTGAGTTCGTAATCTCGATTCCATCTCTGTTATATATTTCGAATATACCCATCACGCCACCTACGATAATGTAATCGCAATAGCTTTCCGCTGGTTGCACAGATACCAGCAACGTGGCTTTAAAGCTTAACGTCTTCGATTTATTGGTCTTAAAAATAGTCATAAGTTTAAACGTTGAGAGGATGGCATTACGAGCCAAAGGGGAATGGTTTGTATAAAAAATGAGTACAGGCATAAATAAAGATTTTTTTTTTGGTAAGTAGTCATTATATTTAGGCGTTAAATGTTATTTGATTTTATTAAAATATTTGATAGCGTTGGTAATTTAATCATTATTATATATAAAAATGTTCTGTTTTCTGAGTAACGTCTGTAGCCTAGTCGGTTCGGTACGTGAAACACAATCCGATAGTTCTGGGTTCGAATCCAGCAAGGGTCAAGGGGGTGGGGGGATTATATAGTAGATCGAACTAACATGGGTCTTATTGGACTTTAATAAATTTTGGCAGTTGTTTAAACGTCATATAATCACTACCCGTGTATTTATTTCGATAATAGGAGGAAGCATGTACTAAAAGAAATATTTTAATGCGTTAACTAAAGGAATACTCTCTAAATATACATTGTATGGAGTATATAGATTCTCGATTTCTCATAATAGAGGTATGCAGGAAAAATTAAGCGGCTACCCATTATCAATTTTTTTTTAATCCGTCTAAAGGGTATAAATTAATTGATAAAAATTTCCTCCAATGACAGAAAAGAATCAACTCGTTTCAAGGTAATGCCAACGGGGCATGGCTTTCAGCCAATCACATTCGTTATCATTCTTTTTTTTACGAAAACTGGTCTGTTCGTTGTTAAAGATTAAGGGTAATGTCGAGCTAATATAAAAAAAATGGCGGGTCTATCCCTTTAAAAAAAAGAATGCTGAAAAATCAGGGGCCATTTTGGAACAAAATAAATAGAGGAAATTTCGGTATTGGATAGGCACGAGGATTGATTCGTTAAGCATTGATATTTATCTATGGTTGGATTTCAATCTCTTGCGAAGACTTTCGAGTCTTGTCTTATTCAAGAATGTCGGGAGGAAATATCTCAGGAGAGCCTTCCTTTACACGCGCAACTTAAATCGCGTAAGAAGCGACCTGATACTTATTACGCTCTTTACTTTGTTGGTCCATGCGTCACCCCGCCAATTTCTTAATATCGAAAATCGCGGCTTTCTGTTTATATTTCATTTAACCATCCATCTACTAATTCCCTTGTTTAATGGATTTTTTTTGATACCTAATTTTTAGGCCTCTTCTTTGAGGAAATAGATTCGCCATTTTATGTATATATTAGCTTGGCACTACTTTAACTTTTCAGGAATTGCTATACTTGTTATTCAAATTAAATGTATTTATATGCATTTTTAGATGTAAATAACTTATTTTCTTAAAAAAAAATACTTCTTTCCAGTGTTGTTAAACGGTTCGATTGGAATAGATTTTTAAAAAAGGACAAATTCAATATTTAAGCCAGAAAAATATTGCCTAAACCTCGATCCAAACCTTTATAGCATCTACGCACAAAATCTTCAGGCTTGCGTAATATTTTTTTTTGAATAAAATATTGAGTGAGCCATTTAACACAACACTACTTTTTTTTCGGTGGAAAGAAAATGAACCTGACATTTGTTGTCCATGTCTTTTTATTTATTTTTCCTAATTTAGTTAATATTAAAAAGAAAGGAGAAGATGTCTTTTTTTTTTCTACTTCTTTCACTCACAAATTTTAGAGTGGTTGAGTTTTCGTGATTTATGAAAAGATATTATAGTTGAATTTGTTCATTAGCCCTATGGACCAAATTTCCTCAATTTGAATTCGATTATTGTAAGGTAAAATTGTATGAATTCAGGTGTTCCTGACTTGACTATAATTTTTTGAAATGTAATCATCTTAAATTAAATCAATATTCGCAAAATCCAAAGTAAATTAAAAGACTTTTCCTTTCTTTTTCAAAAACGATGAACCCGACATTTTATTTTCTCATTTTACGACCTGGCCTAAAATTTTTAATTTATTATTTTTTTTTTACATTTTTAGAATAATTTTTATTGTTACAAAAGATTTGTTTTACATTTTTAGAATAATTTTTATTGACAAAAGATTTGTTTCTCATTTATTTAAATTTGCATTTTTTTTAAAGCTAAATAATTTTATTTTTTTCCATATTTTAGCTTTCTCACAATTTAATTTATTTACCCTATACAAACTTAATAGCAGTAAGCTATGGTACCATGCTTATTAAATTGACTTGCCTTTATTACATGACACTTACACTTGTATTGTATACATCCATAACTTAATAATTTTATTTTATGATAAATACTCCTCCGCCACATTTAAAGAGGGATTTCCTATATTTAACCATTCAAATATTGTATTTATTGCAAGCCTTTATATTTATTTTGCTGCCTGCTATGATTGATTCAAATGTTAGTCTTTTACATTTTAGCTTGTATTAATTTTTTTCGATATTTTCTTCATTCACACTAATTAGATGTCTGAAAAAGTAGGCCTGGCTCATACCCTGCCAAAATTAGCTTTGGACTGGGAATGTGTTGTTAAATGGCTTGATTTTTAAAAATGGCTAACCCAATAATTTAGTCAGCCTCAAGATTTTGCTTATAGATGTTAAAACCTTTCTGCTTCTTATAGCTAAATCTACTGTTGAGTAAAAAAATGGAGGCATCTAACAACACTAGCCTGGGCCTTTTTAAAAAAAAAAAATGTTAGCCTAAATTTTAAAATAAAATAATATATATTTTACAATTTTTGCAAGAAACAAGGAACTAATATTTTTCGTTTTTTATAGAAAGAACAAAAATACAATTGCATTCATTGTTAAAATTTAAACTATATTTAAAAAAATAAAGGAAGATTTGAAAAAATAGGCCTGATATATACACAAATACTTATATCATTTGACCAGACCAAAAAAAATTTTTTTTAAATCCGAGCCAGGCCATGCAAATGTTAATATTTTGGTAAAAACATGATCTAATATATTTTGTAGGAAAGGTTGGATTGCATTGATTTATATTTTATAAATATACCTGTTCTCCATTGGCATTGTAAAAGCTTAGCAGACCTTCATCATTTAAGGCAACTAATACATCACTACATATATAACATTTAAATTAATATATTAAAATAATTTATAAACTTTTGAATCCATACTATAGAAATAATAGGATTTTTATGAGTTTTGAAATTTAATATTTTTTCACCATTCTAGAAATTAAATCTTTGTTTATTTGTATAATTATTTAATACTTCATCTCCTATAAATATAGAACCATTACTTAGGCCTAAAACAAAATGATTTCCTTTATTATTCCATTTACAACAGTTTATATTATATAAATAATGCTTTTCTATTGATTTTTTAGAACTAATCCATAGGCCTGTTATCAATAATATTATATTTGATTTAAATTTAAATACCATATTCAGTAGAACTGCAAGCTAATAATATTTGATAATTATTATTGTACGATAAGCAGAGTAGAGGTTCTTGAAATCTAAAAAATGTTTAACCATAAAATACTAATATTAATAACATAAATTTAAGGATTGGTTGAAAATTTTCTGCAGACCATTGTATTACAACCTTGTCTATAGAACCAGAGAAAAAATATTCGAAATTTGATGTGTATATCAAACATTTTATATCATCTTGATGAGCTATTATACATAATAATATAATATTTAATAAAATTAAACCTTCTATCTTTCTTACGAATTGAAATTTTAATAAATGAAAAATCGATATATCATGATTAATTCCCAAAATAAATAATTTTCTTTTTTCGTCTATAGCTAGATCAAATAGGCTATATATATACTTTATCTTAGTTCGGTAGATTTCTAATATACTTAATTTTTTGAGCATTTTTAAATTTTTTATACAAAATTTGTTCACATATGATCATGAAGGATCGTTTCTTGGGCGTAACTCTCGTTGAAGAGAAATGTGAGATAGAGAGACAGGTAAATTGAAAATGAACAGGTAATTTGATCCTAATTTATACTAGTTAATTATTTAAAGAAAACAATCAAAGGTAGTATATTTAAAAAATTATATATTTCAAAATTTTATTTTATAAAACCCATAGGAATTGAAATTTTATTTTTAATTATAATAAAAGAATAATCAGAATACAAATCTTTTTTCATAACTAATTTTGTTTGTATTTTATTTTTGAGATATATCCTTTGTTTAAATTTGTTGCGTTATAATCTAATTCTTTATCTTACTTTTTGTTTTTTGCATTTGAACTTTTTGTAATCTAATTTTTATTATTTTTTATAATCTAATTTTATTTTTTATACGGCGTAACCTTACTTTTTATATTATAAAATTTTTACTTTTTTGTTTTTATATATATTCTAATTTATATTTTAGAAAATGTATATATACCTTAAGAAAAGAAAAAGAAGTTAGTTAATAAAATATATTTTTATTGACTCGCACCTCGCGCCATATCGTTACCACCTTATTCTTTTCAAAATTAAACGTTAAAAAAAAATATATATATGTATAAATATATTATAAAAAGTCCATTATTATAATTTTTTTTATTAGAACGCGTCAATTTATATACAATTATAATAATATTTAGAGGATATTTATAATTAATAATTTAATTTATTATAATCTATATACAAATAGAATGTGATGATTTATGTCTTTTAAAAATTGTTAAGATTTATTTCATCTATAAAAGGATGCATAATTAATAATAAAAATAAATAAATCTACACAAGAAAACCCATAATAAAGAGGAAAATCCGACAGTATATAAAAATGATGTTTAAAAAAACATGGGTAGATAAGTAATAAAATAAAATAAAATTAGCTCAAATAAACAATAAAATATAGAAATGAACAAAAATCAAATCATTGTAAAAAAATCTAACGAAATGGACAAAAATAAAATCAGCGCAAATCAATCAAATATATTAAAATTATTACCTGTAATATGATAAATTTTAAAATAAATAAAAATTTATCGAAAAATTAGAAACAGATTTAATAATTATTTATATATAAAAGAAAATAGAAAAATAAAACGCAAACACGTTTAAAAAATGAGAATCAAGAAAATGAAGTTAAAAAACATATTGGAAACTTAAATATATGAAGTTAAAATAAAATTAATTTAAAATAATAAATGAAATCAAAATTCAAAATATTAATTAAGGAAAACAATTGCATATGGAAAAAAAATAAGATTTCTCAATATGTAGCTACAAAATCAAAAACTAGACTAAATAATATAAATAGAAAGGGTAAAAAATAAATAAATAGTAAGCAAAAAAATGATACAGATTATTTGGATACATTACTCTTATTCGTATCCTAACAAACAGAGATAAAATAAATAAAAAATAATATACTTATACTACATAAAAAATCAAATATGTTGGATATTATTATTTTTAACATGCTGACCTACAATTAGCAATAAAATATTTTTTAAAAAATACATCGAAGCAGTGCAATAGCCAGGGGGGGGGGGGGGTAAAAATGCAGATTATAGGTCCAAAAATTATTTTATATTCAATTAAATACCTCAACAAATATTACCTTAAATATAAAGTTTTAAACATTAATTTTTCTGGTTTGAAAGAATATTATATTACTATAGAATATATATCAATTATTCAGTATAAAATTAACTTTATTAAGTTCTAAATATATATTTATTAATTCTTATCGAAGATAGGATTCTAAGAAAATATTTATTGTTTCTTATCGAAGATATGGTTCCTAAATAAGCTCATATATAATATTCTCATATTTTAAATTTTTAAAATTCTATTCTTAAATTACAATCATAATGATATATTTGGTTTATATTTTGGTACATTTAATAAATAATATCATTTTAGTATAAAATATGGCAGTAATACTGCCAATTATTCAAAGTTTTATTAAATATTATGATTATCAAATTCAAAAGTTCAAAAATAAATAAATAGTTTCCTGTTTTATCATTTTATTCTAATATCCGATAAATTTTAAAAACTCAAATTAATGCTATAGGTATTTATTTTACACGTTTGTAATCATATTCTATGTTAATCGAGATTGACTTTTAAATTTTGTTTGATTTAAATTGTTTTTATTTTAAACATGTTAGCCTTTAACTATGTATTTCGTTTAAATTGTTTTTTTTATAATACATATATATATATATACCTTATTTTATATTTATTTTTAGTATCATTTTTAGTTTTAGAATAAATTTATTATAAATAAAAAATCACAACCGTTATTTCTATCACCACCGTTATCCCTATATAACATGGTGCCCTGCTTTGTATGGTAACTCACGCACAATGATATATAAAAAAATCTCATATATATTGTGCATATGCTGATAAATATAAAAAATAAAATTGTAATAAATTATAAAAATTATTCAATATAAAGGACACACACAAATTAAAAAAAAAATTTATATGACTTTACAACGACAATATATATCTTTATGCTAATTTAAATAAAGTTTTAAAATAAAAATTTGCAATTTGGATAAAAAAAGTTACATAATTATATGACTTTATAGTGACAATATATATCTTTATGCTAATTTAAATAAAGATAAAAATTTGCAATTTGGATAAAAAAAAGTTACATAATTATATGACTTTATAGTGACAATATAATATCTTTATACTAATTTAAATAAAGTTTTAAAATAAAAATTTGCAATTTGGATAAAAAGTTACATAATTATATTACTTTATAGTGACAATAATTTAAATAAAGTTTTGAAATAAAAATTTGCAATTTGGATAAAAAAAAAGTTACATAATTATATGACTTTATAGTGACAATATATACCTTTATGCTAATTTAAATAAAGTTTTAAAATAAAAATTTGCAATTTGGATAAAAAGTTACATAATTATATGACTTTATAGTGACAATAATTTACATAAAGTTTTAAAATAAATATTTGCAATTTGGATAAAAAAAAAGTTACATAATTATATGACTTTATAGTGACAATATATATCTTTATGCTAATTTAAATAAAGTTTTAAAATAAAAATTTGCAATTTGGATAAAAAAAAAAGTTACATAAATATGACTTTATAGTGACAATATATATCTCTATGCTAATTTAAATAAAGTTTTTAAAATAAAAATCTTCATTATGGATGATAAAATTAACATATCCTTCAACAGGGAAGTTAAGTTCCAATTGGAGGGATGCTTGACGGACATATATGGAGAGACTTGACGATTATTTCTCTCAAACAATTTTATCCGACTCAGTAAAAATTGAAACATTGGTGAGCAATTTATCTGATGACCTTTACGATAAAATTAAGTCATTATGTACTAAGGAAGATATCAAAGATTATAAAATTATTATTAAAAAATTAAAAATTTTATTACCCAGTTAAGATGTTTGGATATTGACTGGGAAGTTTAATCTTGCTTCACAAGGTGTTAATGAATTTTTTTTGGATTGGTTTTTTAGACTGTCTAAATTAAGTAGACAAGTAATTTTATTAATGATGATCGCATAAAAGAAAAATTGAGAACATCAGGTTTAAATGACAATATAAAAAATAAATTAAATAAAAATATTAACTACACATTAGACGAAATGATTGAAATAGGAAGAAAATTAGATAGTATTAACATTAAATCAGAAAGTGACAATGTTAATTATGTTTTTAGTAGGGATAAAAAATTTAATAAAAATAATGACAATAATAGAAATAATGATAAGAATTTAGATATTAAAGTACTTCTAATAGGAATGAGATTAATAGTAACTATAATAGACCTAATTATTATTCGAGGCAAAATTGACAGTAGGAATAGAAATTATGGTGATAACAATTTTAGTAATGTTAACGACAACAGGAATAGGAATTTTAGTAACGTTAGAGACAATAACTATTATAATAATAACAACTGTAGAAATAATTAGTATAATGATAGTAACTATCAAAATTACAATTATCGGTATAACAATAGCAACAGAAACTTTCATAATAATAATCATCAATCTTATAACAACAAATATGGTAGGAACAACGCCTGGTTTAATTATAATCAGAGGAGGCAGATTTAATGTGATGATCAAAATCATAATAATTACCGATCTTATAACAACAATTCAAATAATTATGAATAATAAGGATAACCAAAGAAAACAAATCGAATATGACGATAGTAATCGGTGGAAGGATTTTAATCAAAGAAAACAAATCCAGTATGATAATCAAAACTTCTATGATAGCAATAATTGTAATATGAACATTGAATAAGTTGGAGAAAATAAGGTTGGCACTGCCAAAGACAATAATAAGAATGATTTCAATCAACAACCTGGCTGAAGATACAGACAAAGGTGATGACAGTGCTTTCATGACTACTTTGAAATTAAATAATGTTACTAGTACTATGCAGGTTGACACTGGATCAAAGTATACCATCATATCTCATGATATGGCTAAAAAAATTAATATAAGAGAAATGAAGAAATCCAGTTTGTGGCTTGCAGCCTACGAAGGAAACTTAATTAAAATCATCGGGACAACTCAAGTTAAAGTAAGTTATGAAGGAATCACTAAATATTTACTAGCAGTAGTCTTAGAGTCGAGAAAGAACGCGTTATTAGAAGAATCTGGATCAATGTTTTTAAAAATATTTTAAATAAATTCATAGGAAATGTCGACACCAATTATGAAGACGAAATCAATAAACTTATTAAAGATTGTGAATCCAAATTGACTAGCGAATCAATTAACAAAGTAAATGTCAAATTACATTTAAGATGTGACGCCCAACCTAAAATAATACCACCAAGACGTATATCATATTCAAAGATTGATCTTGTGGGCGAAGAACTGAATAGATGGATACACGAAAAAATTATTGAGCCTGTAAATGAAGTGCGATGGGCGAGTCCTATAATCGCCGTATACAAAGATGATGGG